TATTTTTAGATTTTTCTCAATGAGCCATATTTCAAGACAAGTTCTTTCCTTTTTTTATATTTTTTCCATTTTAATCGAACATCCAGGTTCAAGTCTGGATATTTTACTCTATCATAATGTGGTATCTCCTTATTATTTATAGTTATAGGTAATTTTCTCCTTTCTCTATTCGCTCCGTGTGCGACAGCAGCGCCAATTTGTTTTGGTATTAAAGGAGTATTTCTGCCTATACTGACAAATACAATTTTTAATAGAATTCGTAAATAAAAAGTATATATGTTAGTTTTAATAAAAGTATATGGATTTATAAAACAATTAAAACATTAATTTATTATTATTATATATTTTTCACGCTTAAATTAAAGAAAATTATGTATAATCATTAAAAATCAATAATAAAATATAGGCAGGCAACAGTATTTACTGGAAAATGTATGAGAAGTTGCCTAAGTCTAATAAGTTGTCATTGAAGAAACCATTTATAATAGCGTGAAGTTAAAATGTATAAAAAGGATCGCTACTTATATTTTCATTTTTGTTCTAAAGAAAACATAGAATGAATGATTAAAACTGGTTTCCGATCAGTAAGTCACAAAATTGCATGCCAGCCAAATATTATAATCAACGGCAGAAATCTTGAAATCTAGTCCTTGCTGAATGAACATTTAAGAATAAAGGGATATTAAAGAACATCGTAAAATGATAATTTATTGTTTATTTAAAAACTTTCTAGTTTCCGATGTCTACTATTTCCAGCATTACTGTTATTATCACAAAAATAAAGATAATTTTTCTTCTTATTGTACACCTTTCCATTTATTTCTTTGATTTAATTTCCACTTTGTTAGTGAAATTTGTTATATAAGTTTCACTGTTTTTTTTGCTAGTATTTGTACAATTTTCAACACAGCAACTCCGGTTGCTTATTGTGTTGTTTTTACCTACTTTTTTGAAAAAAAGTAAAATGTATACGTGTATTTGATATGCCAAAATTACAAAATGTCCCCCTAAAATGCACGAATTATCCGCAGTTAGCGTTAGTATCGCTTTTGCTTCCCTTTCCATGACTTCGCACGGAGCGAATAGGTGAAGCTAATGAATGATGATTTTCTCTCATTTATTCTTGTTCTCCACTTCCTTTCATTGTTAAATGCCTACTAGAGTTTATTTATAGTTTTTTCTTTATCATATACCAATGCTAAGATAGTTGTATTGTCGGTTCGTGGTATATCACTAATTACTAGTGTACAACAGGTAAAGCACATTCGTCAAAAAAGGGTAACTTTACACACTTGTTGCATAAATAAATATTTTTTGTTCCGAAGGAACTAAAACATGCAATTTACTCCTTTATTTTAGGGACTAAAGTGTCGTTTTTACTCCCTTAGGACTATTTTAGTCCCTCAATACATAACATGCTATATTTATATATTTAATTTTTATTGTTACACTGTATGTGGCAAGGATTTTTTTGTTTGCCTTTTTTGAATTAACAAAATATTATTTTAATGATTTAAAAATAAACTGTCAGTATCAATAATTATCTGTACCTAAACATATACAAAGTGAAATCATACGACGCACCAAGAAAGCACCAAATTTTTAAACTTTTTAATCTACGTAAAAAAGTATATAATAAACTATATTAATTTTATTAACTAAAAAGTACTATATGGGCTTATATACATTGTTTTAAATTAATTTTATATGTAAAAGTGTGGGTTCCTAAATGGGTACCTAGTTCACTACGCACCCAAATTTATATTTAAAATAAAGAAAGTTTCAGGTTTAAAATTAAATACCAAGTTTTATCAGTAATAACATTTTCTGAAAAAGTGACAATAAAAAGTTTTCCATATGGAGTAGGCTTTTTGCGAGACAGTGTATATATATTTAGAGAGCAATCCATATTATATTAGAAAAATAATTAAAAAAAATTATAATCACATAAATGTGATTTACCTTTTAGAATATCGTATATATTTATACAGCAAAGTTAACTAATTTTTATAAAAAAGATTTATATTCTACAAAATCTTTCTTAAATTTTTTAACATTCACAAATATTTTAATTTGAATGTAGTAACATGCACGTGTAAGGTACAAAATACCTTAATCCGTCTATAGTTATCGATTTTAAACAAGAAGGAGACCGGACATCGTGGAAGAAAGAAAAAAAGAAAAAAATTAGTAAAGAATTTTAACTCGATTAAAAAGCGTTGTTTCTTTTTCCATTTTCTAAAAAAACTAATAGACCTTTTTGAAATCGGTTTTTGGTGATTTTCCTTCTGATTTATTACCTTGGAAAGTAGATGATTTATATAGAAAACAAAAAAGCTGACTTATTATTTTTATGAAATAAATATTTGTTGTTATTTTCACAGTTTTCAACCGCCCTCTGTTTCCATAAAAAAATTATTACGATGTTGTCAAGCCAGCACTTCTCTAGATATCAACACGTTCTTTATTGTACTTTTTATTTTTTTTTAAATATTCTTCAGTTTTTTCATAATTTGGGAAAAAGAATAGCACTGAAACTCCTATCCCCGAAAAATTGTACGTACGCTCTTAAATACATTGTATTGCCTGTTTAACCATTTTCTTCCACCACAAAACAAAATGAACAAAATAAATCATCAAATTACCTTTGTTGGCACATGATACATGGGGTACTTGAGTTTGCAACGTTGCCATATTATCAAAGTTTCTCCAGGTTATATGTGTCTAGACTTTATAAATAGAAGTTCAGAGATTATTTGCAGCACTAAAAAGTACTTGTTTAATACAGTAAGTTAAAAATTTACGGAAAATTACGAATTTTTAAGAAAAATTTAATCAAAAATTGTAATTTTATAGCTTATTTTGCCTTATTATTGACATCGAACATGTATGTATAACACTTATGGTAGTATTTTATATTCATAGAACTATAGGACACGAAATATAAGACATGAAAAGGGATATCTACGTATCTGTGGTAAAATAATGAAGCATCAAGATCTGAATGGATCCCATCCCAGTTTCATAAATATTTACCTAGGTAAGATCTGTATTCTATTTTTAACTTGTTTGTATATATAACAAAATTATAAGAACTCACTTGATTCCTCAAAATTGAAGTGAAATCATTTTTACCATAATAACTATTGCAATTATTATTTTCTACCAGAAACACAATAAGGATTCAAAAAAGCAAGAGCTTGCATTCATAGTGTACCAACCTATTTGTTATAAGTTCTACTGTAGGTATACACCTGTGGCTATAAATGAAAAAGCACAGCTTTTTGTGGTTTTCGTTGATTTTAAAAGGGCTTGATTCCATAAATCATGCACTTCTTTAGCAAAAACTATTAAGGAAAGGTATCAGCAGCAGAATCATAATATATTTCATGAAAAAGTATGTAAGGCAGTCATAACACTTGATAGGTTAACTTAATAGGTGGATATAACGATAGGGGTGCCTTGAGAGAGATGGTCCGTATAGTACATCGAGAAAAAAAATTAATCGAGCGTAATAAATGCTATACACTGAGAAAAAATATTACATTGAAATTGAAAATAATATTTTACCTTACTTATCGTGCCTACAATTTATATAATAAAATATTGGTTTTTATTACAGTAGCTTCTGTCTTGTTAAAACTTTTAATTTATATTTAACTAACTCACGCATAGCTACCCCAAGTTTGAATATTATAAATCCGCTTGAATATGGAAAAAACATCAGGTATAGAAAATATTTTTTAAAAACCTAGTTAATTTAAAAATGTAAAATGACCGTTTATGATTCGTTTACATTGGCCATCTGTATTTATTACTTTGGCTTTTTGTATCGAGGATAACTGTGGTACAGGAGCGAATAATTGCTAAACTGTCAGACAATCAATTATGGTAATAATATACATACTATTTTGTTCTATTGTGGAATATTTTTCGATTCCTTTGTCTCAACTTCGCGCGTTCGAGTTTAGAATATGTATCCCTCGTATCTACATGCAATTGTTAAAATTATGAATGAATGCTGATTTTGTTTAGTCTCGGAAGTAACTTTGTAGTATTTAGGCTCCACCGTTAAGTTGTAATTTTTATACCTACTAAACTACCGTTGCCCCGCAGGTCTTAGTTAGTTTTGAATCTAAATTTTCCTCTTAAATAAAGTTACAATACAACAAGATTATATTCTAGTACATACTTGTATAATCCATGTACATAACCATTCAATTTAATTATTTTAAGTCCAATTATATGGTGACAAAAATGATGCTCACTTTTTTCTTTTAATGAGACAGAATTGAATGTGCAGTCTAAGGAGGCCAATTTTTTATTCTATATTGTTTATTTGATTAAATTATAGGTAATTTATTTTGGACTTTTTTTTGTAATAAATAGTTTTCTTTATACTAAAATCATTTAAATAACATTTAATTAACAATTTAGTTGAAATTATGTGTTAAATAGTTATAAAAATTCGTATACATTTAAATTGGCCGTCAAAATCGACTAGAATTATGATGCGCACTGAAGCTGCGCAACTTGTCAACTAGAACATCGAGATCAAAGGTGCCAACAGAGAAAGTAACTACTGGGATTCTATCTTTGATTTTGCTTACTAAGGAGAACGTCATTCTTGGACCGGTTTCATCCTTATTAGGACTCGTCAGCAAGAAATAGACAATCTTGACCCCAGTTTCTAATGGGGTCTACTAGTGAAATACTTTCACTCGCCTACAAGAATGTTGGTTAAGAGAAGTTAGGTAGGTAGCCACCAAGTAACGCCATCTGCATTAGTAAACAAAATCACAGGTCGTTATAATACCTAATCTCTGAACTAGGTACCTACTGCATTCCAATAAAAAAGACCAAGTTAGACGACATGTGTACTCTAAACTAAATTATGTTGTAAGCACTTTAGTTGAATTGAATTTAATAATCATATGAGCAATGAGCGACGGATTCTAAAAAATAATTTTTTCAAAAATATTGAAAAAATACGTACTTACCCCGCCTGGAATGCCCGCATTGAGGAACAAGGCAAGAGTATCAGGCCATGGAAGAAGTTTGTATTGGTCCCACCATCTATTCACTACTAATGTTACATAAAATCCTAATACGAAAGACATTGGTACTGTCTCATTCATTTGGCTAAAATATCTTCGGATTAATTCGAAGACCCTGAAAAAAGAAATAAAAACAAGAATAACGATGTGTACATGTCGAAGATGTCGCGATGAGCGATGATCGATGGTTAAGTGGATGTCAATGGATATAATACAAATGTATGGTGCAATGGCGGGAGACTGCGCTAATCTTTGGTATGTACACTCTCTTTTAAATTAGTACATTTTTTATTACATCGCCTATCGGTCATCGATCATCGCTAAGGATTTGTACATGTTGAAGATGTCTCGATGAGCAATGATCGATGAGCGATGGGCAATGATCGATGAGTGATGAGCAATGATCGATGATCGATGACCGATAGACGATAGATAAGTGGATATTAATCGATGTAACACAAATGTATTGATTTAAATTAAAGTAAACGTATATATCTTTGGTATGTGTTTATACTTTCATTTAAATCAGTACATTTGTGTTACATCAATTGACATCTACTTAAACATCGCCTGTCCTCATCGCTCATCGAAGCATATTCGGCATATACACACTTTAATAGTGTGTCTCAAGAAGTTTACATCATATGAAAAAACATTGATTATCGGTTTTAGAGAAAAAATTATGATTGATAAAAGATGGTGCTTCACTTTAAACATTATATTAACTTAAAACATGTACCAGGAAAGTAAGAACATGAACTGTGGCTAATAGTAAAATACCTACTCTTAGATAAATGTTATTTAAAAACCTGTTTAGAACAATATTTATGCTGAAATATGAAATCATAGACTTCTATTGCAAAATAATATTTTCAAAGTGTACGTATGAAATTAGTTTCAACAGATTATTCTAAGCCTATATTATATTGTTTAAAATAAAAAAAATTAAACCATTGATTATATTTTAAAAAAGTTTAAAAGTTCTTACCTTTGTTGAGGGTCCGTTAATCCAAACCTATATACTAAATTTATCACATAATAGAAAAACAAATATGCTAAAAGTTCTCTCCACACTAGTTTATATACACTTCCCCGCCATCTGAAACAAAGAAAAAACAAAATTAATCATTTTTGCCAATCAAATATTTTTCTTGCATCAATTAAAAAATGCAAAATACGAAGTTAATTGCTTGCGGTACATCATTAAATAATTTAAAAGAAGGTCAAAGTGCAGAAAGAGGGTCTAAAATAGAACCTCGAGGTATTCTACGTGAATGATGATCAAAGTAATTTGGTTACATACTCTGCGGCTTCAACTAGTCAGAGATTTATTGCGATTCTTACCTATACTGTTTTTTTGTTTTCGTAGAAGCTTTCTTCAACTCATTAGGACTGACAGTATTACGCCGTGGAAAATGAAATAACCTAGTGGGGGAAATACTCAATATTCGCTGCATTTTTTAAGATTATTATTGTCATCATTATTGTTCTAGAATGAACTCAAAATGAAGACGACTTTTCCAAGCTATTTAATACAATGCATTATTTAATTAATGCATTTCTATGTTTTTTTTATTACATTTTATGTACTATGATTTTTCATTTTTTATGTAATTAGGTTTTAATAAAATATTGTTACGCAGCATCCTACAGTAGCCTGCGGCTGTTATACGAAACGTACGAATAAAAGAAGGAAGTATGTCATCCATCACCCTACAGCGTGCTGCAGTCGTCATAAAAAAGGTAAGTAAAAGAAGAAAGGGGAATATTCGAGAAATGTCTAGAAATGTCATTACACGTCAAGGAAAATCTGAACAATTCAAAAAGGTTCAAGAAGGTTAAAGCAAACTATATAAGCCGGTGATCATCCTGACGTCTGATACAGTATTGGCTGGGAGAGCTTTAAAAACAGTTGAATTTATAGAAAAACTGGATAATCTTTTTGACTTATTTAACTGATCTAAATTTAAAAATGCAAAAAACTTCTGCACACTTTTCTGACAAATTTTATGAGTGGAAACAAAAATATAACAAAAGGAATGAAATTTATTTTGGGCTGGAGATTGTCCATTTCAGCTTTTTTGGGAATGTGGGAAAATTTGAAAGAAAAAAATCACAAAATTCACACTAGGAGATTGAAAACTTTTGGTAAAATTCGAGAACAAAGTGGGAATTGTAGGAATCCGACACCAATTCAGTTTCAAAGGCCATTAAAAAAAATGTTTGGTATAAGTTACCTCGATAATTCTGAGGGAGCAAACGGCCTTGATAAATTTGATAGGATTTTAGCAACTATATCTTTAGAAGTCATCCAAGCTGCCAAATTGTCGTATCGCAACAGTCATAATATGCAAAATCTCTTAAAATAAAGGCCAAAGATTACACCAATTTGAACATTACAGAGAAAAATGGTTTTGTTTATGTAGGAAGATATTTTATAAAAAAAGTTTTAGATGTATATAAGTGTATTTCATATAAGATATGCGAAAGAACATACTGAACTGGATGAGTCTACAATCTACAGATTTTTCAGGGCATATCCAATTTCAAAAAATGATACGTTTGGCAAAAATGCCAAGTATGAGTTTTATAGAATAGATTCATGCCCCTGCGAAGGGTTTTTGTGAACATTTTCCAAGTTTGACAATAAAAGAAGATATTGGTAAAAGTCTTAAGGAATATCTTTCAAAAATAAGTTTTGTTAGTCCTTGTCCGGATTTCCCAATTGATTAGGTTTTTATTTTAACTAAGTTAGTGGCACTGGATATAAACCAACAGGCCAGTCAATTGTCAGGTGAACAAATAAAATATATAACAAACTTTATTATTTTACAAATTACATTAACGTCGCTTTACCTTAATAACTAAAATAACCTTATATGGTTTAAATGTTTTGTTTATTTTTGTTTTTTTGTTTTGTTTTTTTTTTGTTTTTGTTTTCTATTTTTTTTCTTTCTTCTCTTTTGTCTTTATTTTTTTATTTCTTTTCTTAAGAATTTTTTCGAGTCAGGTGTACACATTTTTTTAATGGTAGCATCGCTACTTACATGTTTTATTTCTATTTCCTAATTACAATTTTAATTTGAGTGTTTTGACGAAATTATAGAGTATGTTATATATACTGTCAAATGTCAGTAGATTTTTTAAATTTATAGGTAACTGAATTTTGTTGTTAATTAAGTTTTGATATAATAAATTAATTTCTAAATCATTTAGAATACAATCCAAAAATATATGTTGTAAATCAGCAATCTCATAACAAATACACAAATCATTATCTATTATACCTATTCGCTTCATATATTGAGGGTATAAAGCATGATTATTTCTAATTCTGCTAATCGTTTGGATTAGTGGTCTATTTGACAGCTTATCAAACCACGGTTTTACCCTTATATCAGGTTGAATAGATTTATAAAAATTACCCGTTTCCTTTTCTACATATTTTTCTTGCCAATTTTAATCCTTTTATATCTGAAACAAGTATTTCGATCGGATAGAGGTATTTTAAAATTACTTATGTAATTAAGTTTTGTTGCAGTTTTAGCCAATCAGTCTACTTTTTCATTATTAGGTATTCCTCTATGGGCTTTGGCCCAAGATATGATTAGGTTGTATCATTATTTGTTAGACTAAGGATTTATTAGACTCTTAAATTTATAAATCAAGATATTAAATCTTCAAACAAATAAAAAAAATTCTAAAACATAAGCAGAACAGTTTAATTTTAGATTTAATTATTTCAATGTAAGATACGATTTTTTTATTGGTACCCTATTTTACTTATTTAAAGTACGCCTCAGCGTGTTTAAAACGAACTTTAAAAAACATGCGTGTTTTAAAGTTACCATGGCAACATCAACAACCCGAGAAACGTGATGTCTAAATGCCAACTTTTTAAATATTGATATGTCAGGAGTGCCTTGTAATGTCAAATAAAATATTTCTGAGAAATTTTTCAAAAAATGTATTCAACACCTTCAAAAATAAATACGTAATGTCCGGTGCATCTGTGGAAAACTTCCGCGAATCGTCTTCCTCGAATACATATGCTTTCTTGACTACCTCATTTTTGCTAATTGCCTTTCATGACAACGAGGTATACTAATGTTACATCACAAATTCAACCATTTTCAGTTATTAGTTCTTATTTCCATTTTTTTGTAGAAATAATACCAATATTTAGGATTTCAAAGTATACCAATAAAAAAAATAGCGTAAAGTATTCGTGGATAACTGGTTAAGACTGGTAAAGACCGTTATATCCACTTATACTTTAATATACTATTATTTAAATTCATCCAAACATTTCCCAAAGTAAATTTCAATTTGACAGTCACAGTCACAGCCATTTATTTTAGGAAACCTGAAACAGTATCTGATTTTGTAATCAAGAAATGGTTATTTTAGTCCGTCAGATAGTGACAGGTTTAGGTGCCCCATTTTCGCATACAAGCCTCGAAGAGGGTTGAAAAGTACTTCGATTTTAAGTAGAATAAAAGGAAATTTACGAGTGGCTGCTGGGGATAACACATGGAAAATTCGATTTTCCTTAACAAAAATTAAAGATTATTTGTTGCCCATTTTTCCACTCAAGCCGTTTTCACTACATGATTAATTAATAGAACTAGGCTTCAGAAAACCAAAGGCTTTAATGTTGCAAGTGGCTAAAGGGTTGAAATAAGGGCGTAATCTTCTAAGGAAAAATCGAGATTTTGTCCGATTTTTCCACACAAGCCCATGGATTGTATGAAAACGAACGTCGTCACTAGTCCGAAAAACATATTTTCTTAAATGACTCGAATGTATAAGTACATTTTGAGGTCGGAAAATTTTTCTGATAAGGAAAATCGAATTTTCCATGTGTTATCCCCAAGAGCCACTCGTAAATTTTCTTTTATTCTACATCGATGTACTTTCAACCCTCTTCGAGACTTGTATGCGAAAATGGGGCACCAAAATCGGTCACTATCTGACGGTCTATTTTGTTCGATTGATTTCATTTTCTAGATAATTTACAGTGAACTGTCACGAAATTTTGTATCTTAGGGCAAAAAAATACCATACGAAATTTTTGGTATTTTAGGTGACATTTAGTCAGTCCCATCCTTTTTGTAAACAATTGTTTCCAAGTTTTTATTATATTATATGGTATAAAAAAATATATGAACATGTTTTCATTAAAATTTTCTTGCAGATATATTAGATGAAAAATAAAAAAATAAAAAAACAGTCAAAAATAAAACAAGCTTTCGCGTGCTCAAAAAATATAAATTGGTGACGTGAATTATTCTGCTATTTTATTAGTTATTATTTCTGTTTAAATAATAATAAGGTATTTTTCGCAAAAGCTTTATGAATCAAAACGTCACAAATGTTAACACTTTCACTTTTTAGCGCATTCGAATATTAGTTGAACATCGAAAGGTTTGCTCTCAAAAACTCGTTTTGAATTTCAACCAAAAAACTCCTCTAAAAGTGGTTTAAAATCATTTTTTTTTTAATTCAGGGGACACAATCATATTTGTTTAAGAATTGTAGATATATAAAATTTTATCGAACATTGTATGATTTGATTCTGTATGTACCAGGGATACAAATTCGAGTTGCGCAATGTATAAACTAGAATATTGAAATCAGACGGCCGAGGCAGAGTGAGCGAACTGATTCTTTAGGTATAAACTGTGGTTAACAGTGACTGAGCGTAATCATTGATATGCAGTAGAAATATTGAAGGACCCAACGCTGATTCTTGAGGTACCCTCTTTAATGTGGCCGATCAACTTTTTACTTCTTCTGACTATGACATTGTGAATAGATTGGTGGTAGGTATTCTACTCAATGTAAATATATTTTATATTTAAAATAATTTATAAATTTAATTATGATTAGGTATACGATAAAAAATCCTATTGTCTATAAGTAGTTAATTTCCAACACGTATTTACAATGTGGAACAATAATAATATATATTAATAGCAATGAAAGTTAATCAAAAAAAATTATTAGCATCGTAAGAACAAAGAAAAAACAGGATATTTATATTCATTAAAATCTTTATTAACTATTAAAAAATCGTTGAAATAATTAAAACGCAAA